ACACACACACACACACACACACACACACACACACACACACACACACACATTTATGGAGTGTTGGTGATGTGCTAAGCACTGTTTGAATAATGTCACTGTCATGCAGGGAGGAGTCTGCGGGGTCCCAGGGAACCAACCCTCTGGGCATTCTGCTACTTCTTAGTCTACCTGGCAGGCCCTGGGCAAGTGACTTCCGTTCTCTGGGTCTCAGTTTCCTCTCCTGTAATGCCCGAGGATAATGGGTGCTTGTATCTCTGCCCCGGCTTGGTGAGAAAGTATCATTTGTCCTTGGGAAGCTCAGAGAGATGAGGCGAAATGGCCAAGCTTTCTAAGAATGTGTCTTAGTGGACATTTGACCGAAGGTCAGGGCTCTGCCAGGGTCATTGTCCTTATGCCCAGCAATCCCACAGGATGGGCCCCTTTAAGCCACTTTATGGGGGAGAACCCTTGGGGTGGGAATGAGAGACTCCGAAGCCTCTGAGCGGGACTGGGAGGGTTCAGGGAGGGAACGGGGGAGGGTTGGGGCCGTGTCACCAGATGCCCTGGGGGCTCAGACGGAGGCAGGCCAGGTCTCCGCCCTGTTATTCTAGAGGGAGAACAGAATGTGGGCTCTGGGGCCAGATAGCCTGGCTCCAAGCCACGCTCGCCATACCTGTCTGGAGATCTGGGAAATGGGCGCACCCCTGAGGCAGGTGGAAATTATCGGACACCCCGGGGAGGCTGCAAGGGTTTATCTGGCCAGCTGGAGATCCCGCACGCGGACCTCCTGTGGGGCTGGAGAGACACTCGGGGGAGGCCACCCCACCCCTGCCCCGTGCGCTGCCTGAAGAGAGCAAATTCTGGAGCCTCCCGCGTTAACCTGCACACAAACCCCTCGGGCTGGGGAACCGCAGCCCCTGCCCGGCTCTGGGAGGAGAAGGGAGAGAGGGTGCCCTGGGCAGGCCCACCGTGCGCCCAGGGTCGTACATCTTTAAGGGGAAAGAGGCGCGCTGGCCGGCCTCTGCGCACGTCACTTCTTCATTCCTTCCCTCCCCCCTGGCTCGTTCCTCCAACTTCCCGGCCAGCTCGGGGTGATGGGGGGGCGGGGAGGGGGGGCTTAAAAATCCACCTCTGGCCCCTTAACGTCCAGAAACAGCCCAATTCCCCCGCCCCCATCTCCGCTTGATCCGAGTGGGGTTCGCCCTGCAATCCGGGGGTCCCCGTCTGGTGCCCCAGGGCGCTGCGTAAATACGGGAGGGGGGTATCCTGAGACACGGGGGTGGGGGGAGGCTTTCCTTTCTCGCTCGCGCCCTTTTTTTTTCCCTCGTTTTCTTTGAAAGTTGGGTGTTGAGAAGTGGGAGGTTCGGGGTGGGACGGGAGACACATGGGGGAGGGAGGGGGAGGGTGTCAGAGGGTGGAGAGACACAGAGACAGAGACGGGGAGAGAGGAAGAGAGAGACGGAGAGAGGGAGACGGAGGGAGAGAGGGACGGAGAGCGAGGCGGGCGCGCAGGAGGGAGGCGGAGGGAGACCGAGGGAGGAGGCGGCGAGGAGAGCGCGCCGGCCGCGGGAGGGGGGCGGGGGGGCGGTTTGGAAAAATGACTCAGTAAGTTCAGCGCGCCCGCTCCGGCCGGCCCTGCGCCTCCCGCCGCGCCCGGGATGTATTCGTCCCCGCTCTGCCTCACCCAGGTACGGTCCCCGCCTGCCCCCGCCCGCGCCCCCCGCGCCCCCCACATCCCGGCCCCGGAGTTTTGAAGCCGGATGAGGCGGGACGAAAAAGGCGCGCGTCCCTCCCGCCATCCCTGCCCGGGATGCCCCCGCGCGCCCCGAGGGCTGGGGTCCGGTGGGGGGATGGGTCAGGCCGGGGACCCCCCCCCCACATACACCCCCACCTACCCCAGACCCCCTGCGTGGGACTCCCGCCCTGCCCCCCGCCCCCGACTCTCAGGACCTCTCCCGGATGTGGGGGTTCGGTCTGCCGATTTGCACCCCCCCATTCCGACGCACCCCCCCCAACGCTCGGAAGGGTCGGGGTGGGGGCTGGCCCCCCTCCAGCAAGGGCCCTGCGGGAAACCCCCCCCCGTCTGCCTCTGAGAGGAGTCTAGGGGGTCTGACTGGACCCTGGGCCTCCCCAGCTGGCAGGACGGGGACCCCTCCTGTGCTCCCCCATCTCCCCCCACCAGGGCCGCGCGGGCGCCCAGGCCCTCGGCAGCCTTTCCCCGTTATTGGCCCACGTGTGCGTGGAGGGGGAGGGGGCACGAGAAGTTGGAGGCCCGGGAGGGGGAAGGGTGCTCAGGCGGCCCGGCTCGGTCCCCCCCCAGCTCCCCCCGCAGCACCGTCCCGGCATTTTCGCCGCATCGATTCTGGATTCTGGAGCCGCCGCCGCGGGGAGGAGCGGGAGGCCCGCGCTCGGGTCTGGCCCGGGCACTGCGGCGGACGCCCTCGCCAGCCCCGCACCTGCCCCGGCCCCCTCCCCCTCCCGTAGCCTCTCACCCCTGGCCGCGCTCCCAGACTGCCCCGGGGTGAGCCTTGTGCAATGGCCAAGGGGGCGTGTGGGGGTGCGTGGGGAGGGGGCGGCTCCCCCGGGGACTCCTTCCAGCCCCAGACTCCCCGGGGACCCCCGAGGTCTCCAGGTTCCGTTTCCTAGACCGCTGCTTTCATTGTGACGCTGTGTGTCTTTAGTCTGGAGAGGTTCTGGCCTCAGTTTCCCCTGAGGTGACGTGCAGCTAAGGCCGGCTCTGGAGAGAGGGGCGATGTGGCGGGCAAACTGTAAAGTGCGGGCATGTGGGGGGTGCGATTCCAGCGAGGGCCAGGCCGTCTTAAGGAGCGCTTAGTGGGGAGTTTGTGAGAGCCTGGCTTCCGCCCCCGAACAGTGCAGCCAGGGACCCCCCCCCACCCCAGGCATGGTCCTTGGTAGGGTCTTTCTCACCGGCCCCCTGGACCCGACAGGGAATGCAGGGGCTGGTGCTGAGGGCGTCTGAGGCCGTCCTACCTATGATCCCCTAAGTGACCTTCGTAAGTCCCTGTCCCTCTCCCAGCCTCAGTTTCCCTTTCTGAGCAGCTTTGGGGAGGGGTTCCTGAAGAAGGCATCTCTCTGAAGCTCTTCAAGAACACCTAGGGTTGGAGTGGACATGCTGTGTGACCTTGGACAGACTTTGAAGTCTCTGGGCTTATGGGGGGATGGAGGTGCCACCGCTCTGTCCTGGACAGCTGGAAGGAGCCACTCGGGAGGGCTGAGCGGGGAGACGCTGTTCCAGGCTGGGGACGTTGGAAGGCTGCCTGCGCACCCTGGAATTCCCCCGTCAGGGCTGCTTGGGAGCCCGCTTCCCTCCTGCTCGCTGGGGTGGGTCGCGGGTAATGAGAACCCCAGTCCCGGCTTTGCCCCGGAGAACTGCTAACTCGGCCTGTTTCTGCAGGGACAGCGCAAGGTCCCGCCACAGAGGAGCACCCTCTGTGGAAACTGGAAAACGGAGAGGCTCCAACTATCCAGGTGGCCGCGTGCAAGAGACAGAGACAGGACGACAGAGACAGGCAGAGAGACAGGGTCAGGCAGAGAGACAGGGACAGGCAGAAACAGAGGCAGGGAGCTCCCAGGCTGGGGTGGGGACAGCGAGTCCCAAGTGCAGCGCTCACTCCTCCCCTGCAATTCTCCTTTCTGCCCTTCCCTCCACCCAGCCCTGGAGCGAAGCTGGGACCCCCTGTCGGGTTTCTGTTCAGCCTGAATCTTAATTCCTACTGCCCCCACCAAGGCCCAGCCTGGTCTGGGGTAGGGGCGGACTGGGGGACTCAGGAGGACCTCGAGTGTCCCGTGCCGAAGCTTCGCACCTAGGTCCTGGCTTCCTGACTCAGTTTCCCGAATCACGTCCCCTCAGTGTCTCTCATGTTGGTCTCCTTTTGTCTGTCTTTATCTCTTTCTTTCTCTGACTCTCTCTGCGGGTCCCTGTTTCTCCCTGTCTCTCCGTCTCTGTCTCTCCCCTCCCCGTCTCTGTTTCGCGCCCAGTCACTAACGATCTCTTTCCTCGGTCTCTCCTGTCTCTCTGATGGCTCCATGTCTCCCTCTGTCTCTCTCTCTTCATCTCTGTCTCTGCATGTCTCTCCAGTGTGTCTCTGTCTCTGCCTCCCTTTGCTCTCTCTTTGTGTGTCTCTCCAGTATGTCTCTGTCCCTTTCCCCGTGTCTCTGCGTGTCCCCCCTAGCTCCCTCTCCCTGTCTCTGCCTGTCTCTGTCTGTCTCTGGGCCTCCCTCTCCCCCCTTTTCCCAGCTAATTTTACAACCTGAGCCCAACCGAAAATAACTCCCTTTTAGCTGATCCGACCCGGATCGTTCTCGGGAGCCGAGGCTGGCGGGGGTTGGGGGGGCGGGGGGTGCCTCGGTGCCAGCCCGCTCTGTGCCACCCAGGCCCTGCCCGCCAAGGGGGGAGCGGGTGCTGGCGGCCCTGGGGCATTCTGGGAGCCCCGGGCCAGGCTCGGCGGTGACTCAAGTGCTTTTTCACTTTTACTCTTAAGAGGAACTGTGGAGCCCGCGGCTCCCATAAATCCTGCTGGCGGGAAGGCCAGCCTCCCTGCGCCTGCTCCGGGCCTCCCTCCCGGCCTCCCTCCCGCCGGCGCCGCCGCCACGTTAGTTATTCCGGGTTTGGGGCCAAGTCCCTCTTGGCTGCTGCTGTGCAGAGGATTCCCTGGGCCACCTCCACCCCGCCACCCATCCCTCCCTCATTCATTCATTCGGTCTTCCATTCCCTCATCCCATGCCCTCTCAGCAGAACGCCCTCCTCTGCTGTTTCTCCGGAGGGGAAACTGAGGCTGGGAGAGGCTCTCCTCCCGCCCCAGACCTGGGCTCCGAGGCTAGGTGGGAGTGGTTGAGGTGGCAGGGCCCAGGCCTGGCGTGGGTTCTTAGAGGGCGCTTGGCGGGGTGCCTGCCAGGAGCAGGGCCTGGGAGAGGGGTTGAGACTCAGAGAGGGCCAGGGCCTGCCCGGGGCTGGCAGAGCTGGGGCTCAGGCCATTTTCCGTCCGGTGGCTTGGCCAGGTGGGCGCTCACTCCCTGTGTGCCCACCGCGGCCCGATGGCCTCTGATTCACTCTCCACCAGTTGCCACCCCTCTCCCGGGTTCTCTCCCTCTCGGGTTCTCCCCCTCTCCTCTCTGCAGCAGAGGTGTCTCTGCGCCAGGGCCCCGCGTAAATCACCAACGCTGGGATTCCGGCGCAGTCAGCATTCTGGCTCCTCCCTCCCTCCCTCCCTCTCTCTCTCTCTCTCTCTCATTCTCTCTCTCTTCTCCTCTCTCTCCCTCTCTCCCCCCTCCCCACCTCCTCTCTTTCTCCCCCATTCTTCCCTCTCTCCCTGCTCTCCCTGTCTCCTGCTCTCTCTTTCTCCCTCTCCCTCCCTCCTCCTCTCTCCACCCATCTTCTTCCTTCTCTCTGGGTCTATCTGAGCTGGCCTCTCTCCGTTTCACACCGAATGGATGGGAAGCACTGCCTGGGCCTCCTGCCCTGCCCTCCCGCCACAGCTCACCCCCCACTCCCCGTCCTGGGTCCACACCCACCTCCCCTGGGCTGCCGTGGCCTGACCAGGACACATCCATGACCACGTGCAGGGCGCACGCACGTGCACACTCCCTGACACCCACACGGATGGGGACACAGCCCTGCCCTGCCTCGAATCTGCCCTGCAGGGGGGCGCAGCGAGGGGGGTCACCCACACAGAGATCTAGAGCGCCCCTCAGATCTGCCGGAAAACTCCTGCTCAGGAGGCGCCAAACCCAGTATAGTACCTGGTATACAGTAGGTGCCACCTAAGTGCTGCTGCGCTTGTGGTGGTCGCTAAACTAATTTTCCTCTTCCCTGCCGCCACTCCCCGACCCCAGACTGTTTCTTGCGCTGAAATGAAGTCAACCGAAACCCCCGCTTCCTCAGGGCTCCCTGCAGATTCAGGGAGACAGACATTTCCGAGGTGCACAGAGCAGGGCTCGGTACTCAGCAGGTGCCCAGTAAATACCTGTTCACGAGTGAATGAATTCTTTTGGCCGAGAAGTGGGGACTTTGATCTTCCGGAGCCTCTGCCTCTCCCCCAGGAAGCAGAGTAAAAATAAGAAGCAGCGGGCCGGGCGCGGTGGCTCACGCCTGTAATCCCAGCACTGTGGGAGGCTGAGGCGGGTGGATCACGAGGTCAAGAGATCGAGACCATCCTGGTCAACATGGTGAAACCCCGTCTCTACTAAAACTACAAAACATTAGCTGGGCATGGTGGTGCGTGCCTGTAATCCCAGCTACTCAGGAGGCTGAGGCAGGAGAATTGCCTGAACCCAGGAGGCGGAGGTTGCGGTGAGCCGAGATCGCGCCATTGCACTCCAGCCTGGGTAACAAGAGCGAAACTCCGTCTCAAAAAAATAAATAAATAAATAAATAAGAAGCAGAATGGCACTTTCCTCAAGAGTGGGCGACGCCTGGTATACAGTAGGTGCCACATAAGTGCTGCTGTGCTTGTTGTCGTTGCTAAGTCAGTCATTGCATTAAACCTCCCGGGGGCATTTCCCAGCTTCCCTCCCCTCATTCTGTCTGTATTTGCACAGTGCAGGCCGGGCTTTGCGCTGGGTGACAAGGACAGCAGTGACTGAAAGACCCAGGCTCGGAGGACCCCTCTCTGCAGTGCCATTTCTGTTAGTCCTTGTTTTGTCTTTTCTTTTTCTTTCTTTTTTTTTT